TTTTGTTATTTTTTCGGATTTCAACATGGAGTAAGATTCATGATTATTATTGAGAATTAAGGATTTGATTATTGTGTTGATCGATAATCCTATTATATTTTTTCATCATATATATATATAATTTGGTGTATTTGATTGCAAGCGTAAAAAGAAAATAAGTTTTAGACAATGAAATTACTTATAACTTAATTGCATGAAAATTGTCGATTAAATATATTTGATTGAAATTACTGGTACGCCCTTTTTGATATGGCCGAAATTTCATGGAAAATGGAAATGTAATTCCATTTCCACCCTTAAAGTCATGTTTGATGGCTTAAATTTTGCCTACAAAAATTTTTCCCTCCCCCCCACCCCACGCGCATATTTTCCTTCGTTTTAGAAATTGCATGGAAAATAAAAACTTACCCCCATAAAGAAATTTTTTTTTTTAAGAAAAATATGGTCACGTGACCAACTTTTGAAAAATATTTTTCATGAAAAAAATGTCGATCGAATTGATGTAGTGAAAGCTTATAGAAAAAAATAAAATTTCACGAAAAATTCAAATTTGTTGATTCCCTTTACAATGTCAAGAAAGAGAATACTTGAGAGAAACTTCTCATGAATTTTATAAAGAACAAATAGCTACCTTACATTTCTTGAAAATTCGAAAAGAAAAAAAATCATAATAATTTAACGGAACTAGGCAAAGCAAATAGAGAAAAGATATATGTACAGAAAAACTACTTACAGAAACCTTACAGAAAAATTAATTTCCAAGAGTACCCTTCATACATAATTTGCAAATAAGAGGCACCACAAGTATATAAAAACTTCAAATCAGTCCCAAAAAGAATTATGAGTGCAAAATTTATTCCGCTGAATCTACGCACTCTGGTAAAACTGGTATCAGAGCCTTGTTGGATCATGGAAATTGAAATTATTAAAAATAATGAGTATTATATATTAAGAGAAAAAGATGGTTTAGATTATATATTTACAGATCCTTTTACTAGAAGATTAAAAATATTAACATTAATGATAATTAAA